GCGGCGTGAAACCGCCGAGAAATCACACGCGACGGTAAACACGGGGCATTTATCTCTCTCTTTCCCGTGTGCGGCCACGAGCCACCACACGCGCGCACACGAGATTTTGCAATTTTTATTCGAAATAAAAATTAAGTCAAACAGAGAGAGATACAAAAAAAATACGACAAAATAAAAAGGTAACATAGCGAAAGCAAGATACATTTTTGAGGCATTTTTTCTCTCCCCGGGGATACGCACGCACGCGATATTCCGCCGGTCTCACCTGACCGGGCCACTTCACCGGCGAGCGGGAATCGAGTCGGACTCTCGATTTGTCCGGGAGCACGGTGAAACGAAACTGGGCTTCGCGGCGGAAACCGCACTGACGTCACACCTGGTCCCGCGCTATTTAAACGCGGTCTCGGGCCGTTTCATAGCCAACGCCAAGCCCCGGCTACGACCAAGTCGTGCGAGACCAGGAGCCTCGTGAATTTATACGCCGTTTAACCCGGTTAAAACTTTGGCACTTAAATTAAACAATAGAACGAACCGCGCCCCGGCACCTCCTGGAGTCGAACGTACGTCTTCGGCTCAGAACAGAGCTTGCTCCAGCCGTTTCTCTCTTTCTCTCTCTCTCTCTCTGCTTCTATTCCTTCAGCTCTTCCTTCCGTCCCCTTGTTCCCATCCCTTCGTTTCTCTATCTTTCTCTCTCTCCTTCTCTTTTCTCCGAGGTAGTTCGTGTGGCTAGTTCGTCTAGGAAAACGTCTATAGATCGTCCTACAATGTGTCAGAGCGACACGGTAGCAGTCGTAGATGCGACAGACACCGTAATGTCGTTGTAGAAAGACGCCTTTCGAGGGAAATCTAATTCTCTTCGATCATTTTTTATCCGACTTCTTGTTTCGTTGTTGTCTCCTCCATCACGAGTCGTTACTCGGGGGCAGGAGAGGGGAAAAGAGGAGGAGTGTGATTCTTGAGTTGTAATTATGATCGATCGACGATGGGATGTTTATTAATTTGTGTGGTCGGTTCAATTTACTCGAGCCCAAAAAGTCAAAACGAGACGCGACAAAGAATCTACGTTGAAAAGACGTGGACAACGCAATAATATCTTCCTCGCCAGCTTGTTCGGGTCGCTCGCATCTGCTACAAAGAGTTATCGTCGCGATCGCGCCGTATTTATTGTATCCTTTCGCGGGCAATATCGCCGCGCGGGAGTTTCGGTCAGCGTCTCTCGCATGGAAAGGGGGCGAAATGCAGCAGCTCGTATCCGCCCGGAGCCCGTATCGAATGCGATCCGAGAGGAGGCATTGTCACGGTACAGGAGCATTTTTCATGTTCGCGTTTCTGAGGAATAACGCCCCGAGACCGCGACACGCCAGCGCGTGGTGCATGTTCCGTGGAAAATGGAGGGAACACATTGAACATGAGAGGAAAAAGGCGACCGTAACGCTTCGCGCGAGTGCCAAGATAGAAATATCGCGATATATACGAACGTTAAGTAGCGCATGGATCTGCAAAATTTAACAAACCGTAACGGGTGATAATATCATAGATGGTATCGAACATGTGACTAAGCAACTGACGGTTATGTGTTAAATTGTAGAAAGGAGGCCGACAGACTTATTTTATTGATATTCGAATAAAAACAAGATATAAAATAGTAACAGAAATATCTACCTTAAATAACATATATCGCATAGCCGATAAAGCATGCACGATTTTGTGAGACAACAATTCTCAAACGAAAAGATAACGAGTAAAAACGGTTGCAAATATTTAAATTTTTATATAATAATAATGGGAGGATAATAATGTTTGACCATGTGTCAACGCACGCACTGAATATTTTTTAGAGCTGCAACGTACGCGCGCGATGAATGAACCTTCCACGTCAGGACGAACCTTATCTCAAATTATTTTAATATTAAATTAATCCCTTAATACCTCATCCCCAAGAAAAATTCATATGGCCCGTATTACGTTCAGGTCGTCTACGTTTTTCGCGCAATATATCTGTGATTTCTAATCTCTTGTTCCTATTATGTTTCTTCACGTATTATACGGTGCAAAAGTTTTTGTTATCTTCTCCGTGAAATTCGAATATAGTTATATCGTAAGAGGAAGAGAAAAGAGAATTATTAGGAATATAAGTGAAGACGTGAAACGAGCAACGTTACAAGTTCATCTCTGTGCAACATTGAAAGTTCATACTTCTATATCGAAAGTTCCCAGAGACTTTTCATTCATGCATTTATAAACGGCTTTCAACTCCTCAATGTATTCTTCAATACGCTCATATCGCATGCATGAGTCACTCTTGTAAATGCAGATGTGAAAATTCAAAATAACGTACATGGTTGGAAGAATAATATTACTATTCCTCATAAAAAATTAATGACGATAAAAAATTGTATTACTCTATATTATTACATAAAACTTCCCCTTGTATATTATTTTTCATTACATACAATACGTTATAATACTTTTATTAGTCCTTTTCTATCAGTAATAAAATTTCCTTGTAATTTTTCGAAACATTGTCACGATTCTGAGCGATTTTTCGTGAATCACTGTTAGTGGCGCAAACAATCTAAAATTTAATTATTGAAATCACGAATGAATAAGATGACTTTTCTCGAGATTTTCACGCGGAGAAAAGTTGATTCTTCAGATTACACCAGAAATAAAACTCCCGTGCACCCGTTTGCCGTCAATTCCGCGATATTCCGTGTGATGTAACGAAACAAATATTGACGTACGTGTGGTCGGTAAATTTGCACGAAATAATTTGAAAGGCTCGCGTCAATTTTCCAAGAGTGTATTTTACTCGAGAATTATTAAAAGTCACGACCCGCCGTTGTCGGACGGCCGCGAGCGCACTAGTAGCGCGATAGGCCACTGAATAAATATTTTCTTAATGGAAAATTAGCGCTTCCGGGGGCTTCGAGGCATCGTCACTGATGGAGCGGAAATCAGCGTTAAATTGGTGCCCTGGTAATTAATGGCTTTATTATCGAATCAACGAACTCAGCCAGTGAAAAATGGACAGCGAGAAAGTGGAGCAGACTCGCGCGCTGGTGAATTCCAAATCCATTACTATCACGCGACAGCTCTGGGAATACTTCTACGGTAACCAACCTGATTTTATTCTTGCCTTTCGAAAGGTGTCTTGTGCAAAATGAATCATTCCTGACATTCTAATTTTAACTTAGCTCCGATGTTAATGAAATGTCGGTCTTAATCACTCGGTGAAAAACCTTATCGGGCGCATAACTGTTCGTCTCGCGGGGCCTCCCAGTAACTGAAACTTTTATGAAAATCAGAAAGTGTGTAACCCCGCGTATACGCGATGTTATTCAAATTGCGTCATAAAAGAATTACAAGTGGCGTACTCGCGTGTAATTTTCGCTAGCCATTTTGCCAGGTAAGAATGGCGACGAATGCAAAATTTCAGTTAGCATACTGCAATAAAAGCGACAGAATTGCATAGAGAGAGAATTGCTGTTGCGTTTAATGTTAAACAGAATCATATATTTATCCGGCACGTGAATCGAGTTACATTGTGCAATTATGAAATTTCATTAAAGTCAGCTACATTTACTTTTTCGACCCGTGCGCTGTTATATATATCGTTTCTACTTCATTCCGCCCGAAATAATGTGCATCCGGCTTCGAATAATTAAAATAATAATTGTTATAATTTTATTCTGATACGATGTAATTATATGAGGCCCACCTCTTTATATATCGATCTTGCGTTGAAAAGCAACGTGACTGCGATACCGCGTAATAGTGTATGACACGTAATTACACGTAATAGTCAACAATCGAACATATTCGGCACAAACAATGTAGAATGGTCGTAATGAGTGAGCGCGTTTTCAAATCATTAATATCAATGAGATCTCCCTTTCTCTCTCTCTCTCTTTCTCTCTCTCTCTCTCTCTCTCTCTCTCTCTCTCTCTCTCTCTCTCTC